TCCAACCTGAAGGGGACAAGCCACCTTTTTCCGGTCGAGAACCATGGCCTCGGACTTGGAGGAGCCGATTCTCATCCCGGCCGCTTCACACTCGGCTGTGAACCTGTAGGTAGCTGTAGGTCTTGGCAGGAGGGAGCCAGTAGAACTACGTCATCCGCAAAAAGCAGGGACGAGTTCCGCTGTTCCCCAAACCAGACCCCCTCTGGTCCTCGGCTGCGCCTAGAAATCCTCTCCATAAAAGTTATGAACAGGACCGGTGACAGAGGGCAGCCCTGTCGGAGTCCAACATGCACTGGGAACAGGTCCGACTTAATGCCGGCAATGCGAACCAGACTCCTGCTCCGCTTGTACAGAGAACGGATGGCCCCTAATAAAGGGCCCCCGACTCCATACTCCTTCTTTGCTAATTGTTTTTGAGTTATCCCGGGGGCGACAGTGGCGACGGATGTAGGATTTGCCCTGAAATTGAAGGGTTGTTGGTTAAAGCCCTGGCTCCGGCTTTCAGTGTCGTTGTGTCTTTGGGCAAGAAACTTCACCTGCATGTCCTACTGATGGTTGGACAAAGGGGGCCTGGTGGTGCCAGTGTACGACAGCCTCGCTTCTGTCAGTGAGCCCCAGGGCAGCTGTGGCTACAATGTAGTTTGCCACTTATATATGCGATATAAGTACAGGTAATATATTCAATATTCCAATGACCTCCATTCATATGTGGGTGAGTAATACAGCCTAACCGTGACCCTTGCCCTAAACCTAGTTACATACCTAACCCTAACCAAAACTCAATTCACACCTTAGTCCTAAACCTAACACCTAAGCCTAAAACGGTAATCTCCCTATAAGGACTGTTGGTCCCCAAATCGTAGCGCTTTAACAGAAAATTGTCTCTTGTAGGAAAAAAAAAAGTACAAACACGCACATTACCTCTGTAAAAATTCAGAATTTGAATCTCTCAGTAGAAAATGTTAACCTTTTTATTTCATTTTGCTTCCTGCAGCTGTTCCCTTTGCAGACGACCCCAGTCAGCTCCCTCCCAAAGACGGAGACCATCAGCAGCAGGCTTCAAAGGGGCTTTTTCACTAGATAACGTCTGAAGACGCAGGGAATCGGAGCGGGTCGCAATGAGAAGAAAACGCCACTGTTAACAGGAGACTATGGTCACTACAGTGTTGAAAAGTAGCTGCACTTTGTTATCGTACCTCAGGGGTCAGATATTGTTATTTAGAGATTATGACTGAAATCTGATGTTCTTATATAGTCTAATTTTGCATTTTGTTTCATGTTTGTTTTCTTTCATTACTGTGAATTTCTTTTTTTAGGGAGAGCTGGCTTATTTGCATTTGCTTTGTTGGATAGAACAAGTATGAGATATGCTTCTATAGCTGCTGTAAATCCTACGGAACCTACCCATAATCTGCTGTCCACTTCTGCTCAGCAGATTATCCTCTGGACCTGTTCATGAAAAACAAAAGGAGTGTGCAGTGAAGCTCCTATCCTAAAGGACATCCTTGGACATCTCAGATTTCTTGATTCGTTCCTCATAAGTATTATCCAGCAAATTTCAGATTAACTTGGATAAAATAATGTAGCATTATTCTGAAGCAGGACATGGATTCATTAGCAAACATCAGAGGATTCTCATTTGAATTCAAAGCTTATGCTGATCTTCCTGGCATCTTATCAGGTAGCTTGATCGATAATATCCACACAAACACTACGGGTAATTGCTTTTTAACAAATGCCACCCCTCCAGAACATTCTGTGGAACCTTTTATTTCTGCAGCTCGTGTCTCTAAAGGACAGTGCTGAATCATAGCTGAAGCTAGCAGGCTGTGATCTGCGGTAGCATCGGGAAAGTACTCCCATCTTTAGAGCCGATCTGTTAACATTTACTTCTTCAGACATGGGGAGCATCAATTTACTACATCACAATGGAGTATAGGGCATTGAAAACTTATAAATACTCCAAAAACCTTTATACATTTTACATGTTAATCTTCTATGCAAATCTTAAAACAGAAAGTTTAGTCCTTTTTTCTGCTAAGTATGTCTGTAAACATCCACTTTCATTTCTTTCATATTAAATGAATGAAATATTTTCTTGAATTGAGGATGCAAGTGAGACACTTTGCCAATGGAACAAGACAATTTCCATTAAATAAAAAAAATTGCATTGTCTTTTAGGTGCATATTATTGAATTATCTTATTTAAAAAGTTAACATACTCATGCTATTGGCAAATCGTCTTATTTACATACTCAAATTAAGGAGAAATACACTTAATTTAAGGAAACTTTACTTATTTCTACATCCTTTTTGCAGTGTAAAAGTTATCAAACCGTCATTACCATCTTCCATCATCGTGTGTTCATGGTGTCTCTGCTTGAACTTACCCTGAGTCTCCTTGAGACATTTTAACTTAGATGTCCATTTTTTTTCCTTCTATTGAACAATAATGTAGTACGATATGTCGGACTATTGGATAAAATCCCAATAAAGTACAGTGCAGTCGTGCTTTTAACATTAGACAAACATAAAGAAGTTGAACGGGTTTAATTGTTTTCATAATCCTTTGCATGTCCAGCATTTCTAACAAAGTAAGTTTCTCTGAGCTTTTAATTTCTGCCTTGTTTGCGTCAGGTTTTGTTATACGTATTTATTATTCTAATTGCATTTAATTAATTTATTTTTTGTATTTAAATGTGCTGTGACAATCAATGTTTATGAGCATCTGGTTTTAAATCATGTATATGTCTAGGAGGACTCAGTGGGCATTATCCCATCCTTTTCTCCTTGAGTTTGTTTTTCTTTTTCTTTGGTGTGCAAAGCTGCAGTATAGAATAATAACTAGATTTTTCTTAAAGTGGGTTGCTTACCTTTTTATTGTACCTGCTGCACCAACCATCCACTATCCCAGCTGTTTTAATCCACCTTCAAAGTTTTCACATGGTTGCCACAGCAAAAATAAGTGTAATCCTCACATGTAAACTCTGTATAAAAAGATTGTTTATTTTATTAGAATATATTTATGGTTTAAAACTGAGTTGAAGTAATAAATAACTGAGAAGTTAAAGGATTTGATTATTGTTTTATTTGGAAATAAACATTTCACACAATCCGGTTGAGGTATGAAGGTATAGCAAAAGTGATCTGATCTTTACCAAGTTCTAAAATTAAGCTTCTTTAAAAAAAATATTCTGCACTGTTATTATTTTCTTAAACTTAGGTGAAGGTAAAAAGGGGAATATTTGTTTGAGAAATAAAATTAGTTCAGTTTCTATGGAACATGGAGGTTTAGGGATCAGAAGTTGCAGAGGACCTTTTGGAGAAAACGAAACGGTCCAAAAAAACCAAAAGGATCTGGGCTTGTTTTTCATCCATAGGATCTTGGCACCTAAATACTTGTAAGCCTCTCTGTATATGAAGGTATTCTGATCTTAAATATCAAAACATTTTTCCAATAACGGAAACTTTTACATGTTTTAATAATCCAGACCTCTTGTTGGGCGAATCCCTGATGGCTCCTCGCCAGCTTCAATCAACATCACAGGATGTTTAGCTTTTTTTTTTTTGGGTTGATCCCCCTCAACAATACTAAAACTGAATATCTTTGTCTTATTCAAAGTTGGATGTTTTTGTTTGAGTTTATAAATGCTCAGCTGGGATGAAGGTTTTTGACTCATGAAGGTCCAAAACTCTCTCCTTGATATTTTGGCTGTTTTCTTTAATTTTTTTCACATGCTGTTTAAGAATAAATCGATGTGTTTTAGGTGTTGAGCTTCAAGATATTCACAGAGGAAATGGTTGTTTTTATTTAATATAGTATGTAAGTTTTTCAGGTGTACATAATTTTAAATACATTTTTATTTATTAAGTCCTTATAAATGGAACATTTGAGGTGTAACAGGATGTACACGTTTTACCTCTAAATCTTCATGAACAGCAAATAAAATTGAATCAATAAAATCATATTATCGTCCTAAAGCAAAGTTCTTCAACCTCTCAAAGGCAGAGACACATTTTCCCCTGAAAACAGCAGAAAACAGTCATTTAGAATGAAAAAAACATTACAAGGAAGTTTAAATAAACCTCAACTTATTGTATTTGTTAAATATCTGTCATAGGCAATCTGTTGCCGTTTTATTTAACAGCAAAATTTTTTATGTTTTGTTTTTTACCCTACAGCAACAAATGTGTCGTATTTGAGTTTTTGAGGCCTTTACATTATCAGTGTGTTATGTGAAAAATAATCATATCATTTTCAAACAAGTGACAAATATTTAGAAGAATTATTATTATTTTTTAATCTTTCGATATACTATATTCTAAACAATTAGTTGATTTTTTTTTTAATTGGTTTTAGCCAGCATGAAGAGCCACAGTAGAGGGTCAAAAGAGCCGCTTATAGCTCCAAAGCTGCAGGCTGCAGACCCCTGTCCCAGAGGAAGTCCTGCCAATTCCTGCCAAAAATAAATCAATTAGGAGTGAGTTAACAGCTGATCACCATATCTCCATCTTGGGATCAAGGAGGTTGATCCCCCCCACCCCCACCTCCTCGTCTTCCCAAGGGAAAAGACTGACAGATGGAAAACTATTTCATGACTGAGGCCATTTTTCAAGTAAATTTGAAATATAATTAACTGTGATTGTGTTTGGACTTGTAATTTACTGGGGTTAATGTGCTCATTTTGCCAATGATGTAGACTGATTGGATGTTTTGATATTTATGTTTTTCACCACGATGAAAGAAAAAATTCCCTATAGACAATCATAACTGATTCTGACTTTGATTTACTGCTAACCAAGACAAACAGAGGTAAATATAAAATACGTGTAGTGATGGTGTTTAGTATGAAGTTTTGAAATCTATAGATTGACAAGGAATGCATATGTATTTTTAAAAAGATATTACAAGCTGTAATTTGTTGCAAACCCTGGAGATAAACAATCCTTCATGTCCTTTTGTTCTTCAGAAATATCAATATCTTTATGTCTTTATCTAATAAACCTGATCATTTAAGAGACAGTGATTTGTTCTTTTCTTTTCTTTATTTCAGCTTATCTATCCTTATATGTGGTAGTTATATCCCTCTGTGATAATCAATGGAGGCCAATGTCATGATGTGTTAAATCAAAGACATGTTTGATCGATTTGGTGAATTAAAAATAAGGACATTGCATTTATTTTGGACATATCACATTTCTGCAGGGACACTGCACTCAGGAATTTTTTAACCCACTTAATCCTCATTGCAGAGTCAACTGTGTCAGGAAATTATTATTAGAAACTAGTGAAGTGGCACCAACCAGACTCTGCAAGGTTTAAAAATAGTTAGATGTGTGCAAGGACAACTTTTTTAAATTAAACTACATATAAAAGGTGCAACAAATTTAGACAGAATCTTGGAAGAGACATGCAAATAGGTTTATTTGCAAGAACAGTATATTTAACCTTGTTTAGGGCTTGTTACTGCTTTTGGTCACTTGCATATCCTATCTGTCAGTGAGGGCTAGAAGCAAAAAAGATAAATATTCAGCCATTTGGCTGCGCATGTCATTTTGTAAATTCAGTTGGTAAAAAAATAAATAAATAAATAATAAGTTAAGAAAGAAGGTAAAAAGCTAATTGAAAAGTTAAAAGGTTATGTCAAAAAGTTAATAAGCAATGTGAAAAAGTAAAAGAAATGTGTCTGTGTCAGTATTAATATTCTAAGGTTATTTTTAACAAAAAAAGGGTTTTCTTTTACTTTGTTTTTCATCAATCTTATATAGAATGAATTATGTTTTTTTCATTTTTACATATTAGGGCAAGTTACCTTTTATTGTTAATACCCTGACCTTGATTTTTGCCATCAAAATATATACATATTTTTTAAATGTTACTAAGGTAATATTTTGGATTTCAAAACGCATTTCATTGAGTGCCGTATAAAGGGTTAAATGGAAACCCTAATTTTAGCCCTGTACATTTAGTGCAACTTAGAGTTTTAATTTAGAGCCAATATCCACGTAATGCAAGTTTGTTTGTTTCAAATAGTGCTAGTTTTTAATGTACTTTAATCTGTTTTGCTATTTCCTCTAAAGATGCGCCCCCTGCTGCCGTTCCTGCTGTACTGCACTGAGCTTCTGCCTCTGTCACAGGTCCTGAAAACAGTCTGTAGGAGCCAATTACTTTTTGTTAATAATTAACACAGTTTTTTTTTTGTTTTTGTGCATAATCTAGATAAGTTTATTTTACTTTATTGTTTGATATCTGTTATGAGATTATGTTTTTTTTTTTTGCTTATTTAGTCATGTTCCTTTGTTTTTGGTTAGTTCTGATTAATTTGGGGGAACTGTCTTTTTCTGTTTGCCTGCCTGAGGAGAAAATAAACTGAGAAAACTAAAGAAGTTTACCTGGAAATTTTTTTTTTTTTTTTTTTTTTGCCTACGTAAAATTAGTCCATGGTGCATCTGTGGCCTTTGTGGATTTCCACTTTTTTGTGCTGGGCCACAACAAAGTTTTCTATGGAAGAGGATTAGGGCCACTGAAAAAACTAAAAAAGTTAACTGATTTTTACATTTTATTTCAGTATAATTTGAGAAAAAGGTCATAATCCTGACTTTAATCTCAGAATTCTGACTTTAATCTCAGAATTCTGACTTTAATCTTAGAATTTTGGATCTTAATGTAGATGGGCACGATGAAGAAAGAGATGTGGGAGCACTCAGCTTCACTGACAAAGATGTGAGTTGTTTGGGAGGGCCAGTGACACATTTGTGAAAAATGAAGAAATTAGGCGAGTTTTTATGTGCCCGACGGATCCCCGGTGATGCTGTTTCATTATTGGAAGAGCAGAAGGTGATTAAAACAAGGGAGCTAGTTTAATCTCTAAAACAGACATGGCTACAGCTTGATGCTAACATGTTTGTTAGCTGTCAGAATTCAGTCAGAATTCTGAGAAAATAGTCTGGATTCTGAGATTAAAGTCAGAATTCTGAGAAAAAAAAGTCTGGATTCTGAGATTAAAGTCATAATTCTGACTTTGTTCCCATATTAAACTGAATAATATTTGAAATCAGTTAACTTTTTTC